GAGACGGAGTCTCAGTCTTGTGGCCCAGGCTGGAGTGCAATAGTGTGATCTCAGCTCACTGCAATCTCCGCCTCCCCCGTTCAAGTAATTCTCCTGATCAGCCTCCTAAGTAACTGGGATTACAGGAGCCCACCACCATGCCTGGCTAATTTCTTTCTATTTTTAGTGAAGGCAGGGTTTCACCATATTGGCCAGGCTGGTCTCGAACTCCTGACCTCAGGTAATCTGCCCATCTTGGCCTCCCAAAGTGCTGAGATTACAGGTGTGAGCCACCCGCGCCCGGCTGTCCATTTGTCTGTCTATCCTTGGATCTCAATCCACCCACCCAACCACCTAACTCTCTGTTCACTCATCTATCTACCAGCTTATCCCATCTGCCTATCTATCCATTCGTCTAACCTTCTATCCAACCATCCATTTTGCATTTGCCTGCCTACCCTTCCACCCACCCATCTATTCATCTGCCCCTCCAACCATGTGCTCATTCATCCATCCATCTACCCATCCATCCATCTACCCATCCATCCACCCATTCTTTCATCCAGCCTCCCATCCATCCATCCCCCATCCATCTACCCATTCATCATTCTTCCATCCATCCTCCCATCCGTCCATGCCCCCATCCATCCATTCATCTATCCATCCGCCACCCATCCACCCACACATCCACTCACCTACTCATCTCTCCACCCATTCATCCATCCACTTATCCATCCATCCATCCATCCATCCATCCACCCACCCATTCATACACCCATCTATCCATCCATTCATTCATCCACCCACCCATTCATCCATCTACCCACTTATCCATCTATCAACCCACTTACCCTTCTATCCACCATAAACTGAACACCTACTCAGCTAAGGGCTAGGAATATGGAGTTGAAAAAGACACGGTTCCTGCCCCCCAGAGAACACTGATAACCGGAAGGTCAATTGGAAAATATGATACTGGTTAGAAGCTAATTAGCAGATTGGTATAACCCAAGGAAGAGAAGATGAGGGGATGAGATGTGGTCAAGGGTATGGGCAGATGGTTAAGGTGTTAGGGAGAATGCACAAATTTTGGCAATAGTCTCAATAGTTCTCTCTTACACACACACACACACACACACACACACACACACACACACACACAGAGCCCAGCTCACCTGGAACCCCAGCACCTGGGACAACTGGAATGCCAGCTCCTGGGACACCAACACCTGGAATGCCAGCTCCTGGGACACCAACACCTGGAATGCCAGCTCCTGGGACACCAACTACTCCCGGGCCAAAGCCTGGCCCACCAGGCACTAAGCCTGCAGCAGCTCCTGTGGAAGAAAAAGCATTGTTTTCCTAACTTATGGGAACCTCAGAGGGCTCCAAGGGTGGTTAGTAGAGTATGGAAGTGACAGTTGGTCCTGAGTGCACGACTGCAGGTGGGTTGACATTTCCTCTGCATGGATCCAACTCATCAGAGAGATGCAGAGAGACTAAGAGGGTCCCTAAAGAGCTCTAGGGATTTGAATCTGTGGGCTGGAGGAGTGTGATCTCTTTCTTTTTCTTTTCTTTTCTTTTTCCTTCCTTCCTTCCTTCCTTTCTTCCTTCCTTCCTTCCCCTTCCTTCCTTCCTTCCTTCCTTCCCCTTCCTTTGTTCCTTCCTTCCTTCCTTCCTTTCTTTCTTTCTTTTCTTTCTTTCTCTTTCTTTCTCTCTTTCCCTCCCTCCCTCTCTTTCTTTCTCTCTCTCTCTCTTTCTTTCTTTTTTCTTTCTTTCTTTCTCTTTCTTCCTTTCTTTCTTTCCTTCCTGCCTCTCTCTCTCCCTCCCTTCCTCCTTCCCTTCCCTTCCTCCTTCCCTTCCCTTTTCTTCCCTTCCCTTTTCTTCCCTTCCCTTTCCTTCCCTTCCCTTTTCTTCCCTTCCCTTCCCTTCCCTTCCCTTCCCTTTCCTTTCCTCTGTCTTTCTGTCTCTCTTTCCTTTTTTATTTGAACCAAATTCTCACTTACCCAGGCTGGAGTGCAGTGGCATGATCAGAGCTCACTGCAGCCTTGAACTACTGGGCTCAAGCCATCCTCCCACCTCAGCCTCGCAGGTAGCTGGGACCACAGGCATGTGCCACCATGCCTAGATAATTTTAAAATAATTTTTGGAAAGATGGGGTCTCAGTATGTTGCTCAGACTGGTCTCAAACTCCTGGTTTCAGCCTCCCAAATTGTTGGGATTACAGGCGTGAGCCACTGCACATAGCTAGAATGTGATCTATTTCTAAAGCACAGTCAGAATTCCCTCCACTGGGCACCCACTTAGTTGATGCAGCAGACACCTGTGGGCCAGCCCTGGAGGGGATGGAGTCGGGGGAGCGAGGTCCCCTCTGCAGGGTCCCCTCCCTCTGCTGAGTTAATCAGGGCAAAACAATAGAGATGGCATCTCAGGTAGAGTGATCAGAAGGAGCAAAGGTAAGGAGGCATGAACAATGCGTATTTCGGAAGGGACAAAGACCAAGTCCATTTGGCTTTAGGGCTAGGGTCTCCGAGGTCCATGCAGGAGCCCGAGCTGTGGGCTTGCCACCCCGGGAGGCACTCACCGTACTTGGCTGCCTTAGCGGCTGCTGCTGCAGCTGCAGCTGCAGCTGGAGTCCCAGCACCTGAAAACACAGCCACAGAGGGTGAGGTCCTTGCCTTGTGGCCATCTCAAGGACACACCCACCCCCTGCTGGGACAGATGTTACCTGCGATGCCTCCAATTCCAGGAATTGCCCCAGGCACACCAGGAACACCGCCCACTCCAACACCAGGGAGGACTCCAGCACCTGTTGAGATGGGGACAGTGCAATGTACTTTCCCAAGGACCCTCCTGAGGACAGGTAGGATGGCCACTTAGACACCGGCATTTTCACCAGTGCGATCTCATCCAGGAATGGGGCCCAGGTGTCTCCAGATGGGCCTGTTTGGGGAGGCCCCCACCCGACTCTACTGTTCCTTGACTCTCCCCCAAAGTGTCCATTTCAACACGCTCATTAAGGGACTTGCATGTTTTCAGACAAATCCCATTCTAATCACTGCCACATACTGAGAAACCACAAGTGGCCGCTCCCTGGGCCAGAGGGGCCCCTGCAGGAATGTTCAAGACTTCCTCTCCCTGTGTTCCGAAGATGCAGCCAAGTTTGTAATCCAAGCGCCTGGCCGCTTGGCTCTGGCAGCCCCTCACAGCCCCGCTCTCCCGCTCCCACATTCCAGCCGTCCCACCAGCCGCTGGGGCCAAGGAGCCTCCGGTGCTGGGAGGGGGGCCTGCAGGGCTTCCGCTGGGAGGCCCAGCTCCAGGCTTCTCCCCACATTCCTGCCTCTCGGACTGGTGGGGAGATAAGGAAAGGGCCTCCCTGGGGCTGAGGATGAAGGAGGACTTCAGCCCTAGTGGTCTGACCCTGAGGTGGGCACTACCTGGGGCGGGGGACAGATGCCCACTCCACTCACTGCACGGGCACAGGAATACCACATTCCATCTGCAGCCATGCTAGCCAAGAGCTCACTGGCCTGAGCAGTGAGTTAAAATTTTTATAGTACACATTAAATTGATATATAACTATTAAATGTTTTAAATGCTTATATATGCATCACCTAAAATTATCTTTCTAACCACCATGGTACCCATTCCCTCTGCTTGGCCTCCTCTTTCCTGTTTTAACCACAGAGTAAGCTCCATCTTTATTTTTTAAGGCCTGAATCACACATCACTTTCTCTGGGAAGCCCTTCCCCAGGTAGAAAAAAATGCCTCCCATTTCTTGACTCCCACAACAGTGGCTATATTCTCTACAAGAACTCTTGCTTGTTCCTGATCTCTGAGATGGATGTGTGGGAGGAGGCAGTGAGGGAGGGAAGGAAGCAGACATGGATGAACGCATGGAGGAATGAATGGATGAATGAATGAATGAATAAATGAAGGAATGGATGGATGGGTGCATGGATGCATGGAGGAATGGATGGATGCATGCATGCATAGAGAAATGGATGGGTGGGTGCACAGAGGAATGGATGGAGGTATGCGCGGAAGAATTGGCAGATGGATGGATGGATGGAAGAATTGATGGAGGGAGTGATGGATGGATGGATTGATGGATGAATGGATTGATGGATGGATGGATGGATGGATATATGGATGAGTGGATGGATGGGTAAATGGATGGATGGATGAGTGGATGGATGGGTGGATGCATGGAGAAACGGATAGACGGGTGGATGGATGCATGGGTGAGTAGATGGATGGATGGATGAATGGATAGAAGGATGGATACATGCATAGAGAAATGGATGGATGGGTACATGGAGGAATGGACAGAGGGATGCATGGAAGAATGGGCAGATGGATGGATGGAGGGAGTGATGGATGGATGGATGGATGGATGAGTGGATGGATGGGTAAATGGATGGATGGATGAGTGGATGTATGAATGGATAGATGGATGTATGGAGGAATGGATGGATGAGTGGATGGATAGATGGAGGAATGGATGGAGGGATGAATTGATGGGTGGGTGGATGGATGTATGTATGGAGGAATGGATGAATGGATGCACGGAGGAACAGATGGTGGGTGGATGGATGGATGGATGCATGCATGGAGAGATGGAAGGATGGATGCATGCATGGAGAAATGGATGGATGGGTGCCTGGAGGAACGGATGGAGGGATAGATGGATGCATGGAGGAATGGTTGGATGGACAAATGGGTGCACGGAGGAATAGATGGATAGATGATGGATGGATGAATGGAGCGAGGGAGTGATGGATGGATAAATGGATGGATGGATGAGGGGATGGATGGATGGATGAGGGCATGGATGGATGGATGGATGGATGTATGGATAGATGGATGCATGGAGGAATGGATGGATGTGTGGATAGATGGATGGAAGAATGGAGGGAGGGAGGGATTGATGGATGGATGAATGGATGGATAAGTGGATGGATGGATGGATGGATGAATGCATGGATGTGTAGATAAGTGGATGAATGGATAGATGAGTGGGTGGATGGATAGATGGATGCATAGAGGAATGAATGGAGGGATGGATGGATGAATGGATGGAGGGAGAGATGGATGGATGAATGAACAGGTGGATGAGTGGATGGATGGATGCATGGGTGGGTAGATGAGTAGATGAATGGATGGATGGATAGATGGATGCATGGAGGAATGGGAATGGATGGAGGGAGGGATAGATGGATGGATGAAAGGATGGCTGGATGAGTGGATGGATGGATAGATGGATGCATAGAGAAATGGATGGAAGGAGGGAGGGATGGAGAAAGTAATAGACGGATAGAAGGATAAATGGATGCATGGACGCATGGAAGAATGGTTGGAGGGAGGGATAGATAGATGGGTGGTGTTGAAAATTTTGAGTAAATAGGGATAAGTAGGGGCCACTTTGGTCATTCATCTATGAGGCAGGCTTTCAATAGTAATGGGAATGGAGAGGCTAGGGGGCTAGAGGCCACCAGGTGGGGACTCCAGGGGCACTCACCCAACTTTGCTGCCGCTTTAGCTGCCGCTGCTGCTGCTGCCTGGGGGCCAACCCCTGGGGGAGGGGAGCAGAGGGGAGAGACCTTGAAACAGTGTTCCTGTATCTCCAGAACCCACTTGTTTCCAGTCCCGAGAGAGCCAATCCACTGACATGCGGGTATATGTGGGGGCTTCAGACCTGGAAGAGGCTGATGGAGCTGCCCCACCCCTCCCCCAGGATCCTGCTGCAGGTTTGCACTAGGGTCTGGATGCAGGGTGGGCTGCTCTGCTTTCAGGAGAGAACCTCACCCACCCCAGGGCTCTGGAGCCCCAAAGATCAGTGATCCCTTGGCTGGAAGTAAGGTGAGGCTTTCCTTACCTGTCCCGGTTGGGTAACCAGCCTTGCCCGCTGCACCAGCCACTCCTCCGGGCCCATAGCCTGCAAAACAGAGAGTCTTGGTGGTTATTTGTGCAGACGTCACCACTGCTGCCCTCCCCCTCCCCCTGCCTTGCCCTCGGGGCCCAAGCTGTCCTGAGTCTGCACCTGTCACCCCTAGCTAGAGTGAAAACAAATACAAATACGTGTATGGAATTGTTCTGTCCATTTTACAGATGAGGACACAGAGGCTCAAAGAAGGAACACAGCTCACCTAAGGTCTCATTATTGATAGGTGGGAGGGCAGGGATGGAGACCCATGCTGAGTGCAAAGTCTATGCCCTTTCCTCCTGAGATTCCCACTCCAAGACCCCAACCCTGCCCCAGCGAGGTGCTCTCCTGGCCCAGGGCTGGAAGCACAGCACCCTTGCTAGGACCCTGGAGTGGGAAAGAGCTGGAAGCCCACAGTCTAGAAGGGTCTCACTCACCGTAAGGTAGTTTCCCTGTGCTGTAGGGCAGTCCATAGCCACCTGGAGAGAGGACAGAGCAAGCTCAGGGGCTTCCCCACGCCTTGCTGGGCTCCCACCAACCTGGGTGGACAGATCTGCCCCTACAGGTGCTGAGGCCTGAGACCTCCCACACCAGGGTCCTGAGCTGCTCCCAGGAGAGCAGAGGTGCTGGGTGGAGGAGGCAGAGGACACTTCTGCCCCTGGGGCCCGATGGAACACACATCCCCCTACAAATTCAAGCCCCATCATGTCCCTGGAGTCTTAGTATTTTCCTTACACCCCCTCCCCAGTGGAAAGCATCTCATTGTCTAAGCTGATTGCAGAGGTAGGGGCAGGAGCATGAGGGGGTGGATGTTAGAGGGATCTTTCCAATTAACCGTGTTCCTTTCTAACAGCATAATAGCTTCAGATCGGGGCTATGGGTCTCTGTGCATGAGCGTGCGTGTGTGAGTCCAATATCTGCAGACGACTTTCCCAAGCTCTCCTTGGCTGGTGACCATATAGAGGCTTCAATACCCCTTCCCTGTCACCAGAGACACCTGTACCCAGGCTGACTTCTGTGCAGGGAGGCGCAGTGAGTGGTGCATTTTTTCTTCTTCTTCTTGTTTTCTTTTTTTGGAGACAGAGTCTCACTCTGTCACCCAGGCTGGAGTGCAGTGGCGCGATCTCAGCTCACCGCAACCTCCGCCTTTCGGGTTCAAGAGATTCTCCTGCCTCAGCCTCCCCAGTACCTGGGATTACAGGTCTGCACTATCACGCCTGGCTAATTTTTGTATTTTTAGTAGGGACGGGGTTTCGCCATGTTGGCCAGGCTGGTCTTGAACTCCTGACCTCAAGTGATCTGCCCACCTTGGCCTCCCAAAGCGCTGGGATTACAGGCATGAACCACCGCACCTGGCCGAGTGGTGCATCTTGAATCATCCCTCTGACTTACCGGGCAGCTTGGGGGCCTTGATGGGGTACCCCAGTGGGACTCCAGGTTGCTGTACCCCAAAGGGTCCAACTCCTGTGGGATTAAAGAGAGCAAGTTCTGGTCCCAGCAGCCCCTTCCAAACCCTCCTCCACCCACTCCACTTTCTGCTCAGACAGAAGGAGCTTGCTACAGCATCCAGAAACCATCCTGCTTCGCAGGACTCCCTGAATCTCCATCATGGGTCAGTTGAGAAACTCCCAACAACAGGCCACTTCCTCCAGGAAGCTACGGGATTCTCTCCCTCCTGGGGCCTGGGCCCCAGTTTGGGCCTGCAGCCCTTGGCACAGGCTGGCGGGTTTTCTGGACTCCTTTGGACTTTGGGCTGCTATGCCAGCAGAGGCAGCAGGCCTGGGATGGGTGCCACTTTGTGCTACAGCCACTGCAAGGCCTGGCGCAGCAGGCATGAGGGAAATTGGGCAGGTTTGGATAGGATCTTGGGTGCCCAGCCCCTCCCAAGGTAAGAGCGTCTGCCTGGCTGGCCACCCTGCTTCTCCCACCAGCCTTGCCTCACCTGGGATTCCAGCAAAAGCTCCACCTACACCTGTAATGATAAAAAGCTGTCACTGCAGCCCTGGCACTGTGGACAATGGGCCAGACAGTACCAAGGGGCCAGGAGGCCCAAGGAATGGCCAGTTCTTCCCAGACCAGTCCTCGCATGCTGCCCTCACATGAACTCTGGGGTTTCTTTTTTCGGAGACAGAGATTCGCTCTTGTCGCCCAGGTTGGGGTGCAACAAGATTGCAATCTCAACTCTCCGCTTCCCAGGTTCCAGCGATTCTCCTGCCTCAGCCTCCCAAGTAGCTGGGATTACAGGTGCAGGCCACCACACCCAGCTAATTTTTGTATTATTAGTAGAGACGGGACTTCACTATGTTGGTCAGGCTGACCTCAGGTGATCCACCCACCTCGGCCTCCCAAAGTGCTGGGATTACAGGTATAAGCCACCACGCCCAGTCTTTTAGCTTTTTTTTTTTTTTTTTTTGAGACGGAGTCTTGTTCTGTTGCCCAGGCTGGAGTGCAGTGGCATGATCTCGGCTCACTGCAGTCCTCACCTCCCAGGTTCAAGCAATTCTCCTGCCTCAGCTACCTGAGTAGCTGAGATTACAGACATGCACCACGACACCTGGCTAATTTTTGTATTTTTAGTAGAGACGAGGTTTTCCCATGTTGGCAGACTGCTCTTGAACTCCTGACCTCAATGTGATCTGCCTGACTTGGCCTCCAAAATGCTGGGATTACCAGGCATGAGCCACCGCACCTGGTTTCTTTTCTTTTTCTATGTTTGTTTTGTTTTGTTTTGTTTGGGAACAGGGTCTCTCTATTGCCCAGGCTGGAGTGCCAGGGGCATGATCTCGGCTCACTGCAACCTCTGCCTCCCGGGCTTCGAGCGATTCTCCTGCCTCAGCTCCCAAGTAGCGGGGACTACAGGTGCCGCCCCCACACGGCTAATTTTTGTATTTTTAGAGTAGATGAGGTTTCACCATATTGGCGCAGGCTGCTCTCGAACTTGCTGACTCAAAGTGATCCGCCCACCTCGGCCTCCCAAAGTGCTGGATTACAGGCATGAGCCAGCTGCAGTCTGGCCTCTTTCTTTCTTTTTTTTTTTTTTGAGTGGGGAACAGGCGTCTCTTTCTGTTGCCAGGCTGGAGTGTAGTGGTGGACATAGTTCCACGAAACAAACTTGATCTC